CTTGGCAATGGTCTTGTAGCCCATTCCAGCCTTGTGTAGGTCTACAATCTTGTCCCTGACATCCTTGGAGAGCTCTTTGGTCTTGGCCATGGTGGAGAGTTGGAATCTGATTGATTGATTGCTTCTGTGGACAGGTGTCTTTTATACAGGTAACAAGCTGAGATTAGGAGCACTCCCTTTAAGAGTGTGCTCCTAATCTCAGCTCGTTACCTGTATAAAAGACACCTGGAAGCCAGAAATCTCTGTTTAAGAGGGGGTCAAATACTTATTTCCCTCATTAAAATGCAAATCAATTTATAACATTTCGATTTAAAGCTTTCCTGACTGCAAGGATTCATCTTCTTTGGTTCTTTCGGTAAGTCACGTAGAATGAGAATATTGTTATTTTATTTTATCAATTTATTATTTTATTCTCATTCTACGTGACTTTACCGAAAGAACCAAAGAAGATCAATTTATAACATTTTTGACATGCGTTTTTCTGGATTTTTGTTGTTGTTAATGTCTCTCACTGTTCAAATAAACCTACCATTAAAATTATAGACTGATAATTTCTTTATCAGTGGGCAAACGTACAAAATCAGCAGGGGATCAAATACTTTTTTCCCTCACTGTGCGTACATACATACGTTGAAATTCTTTCGCACCGTACGTAGCCAACAGCGCTAATCGGAGGTGCCGTTCGTGTCTCGGGGCAAGGGCTGCTCATCCGCTTTGTCCCGAGGCTAAACCGAGAATCTCTGTGTAAATATCAACCCTTGGTGGGGGGACAAAATAGTCGCCTCTACAAGCCCGTCGTGAGGCAGGTTGCGGGGAACCCGCCACCCACCCCCTTCGTTTCACAGAGCCGGTGCACGTGCTCGCCCGAGGCCAAGCCCCTTTAGAAGCGGCCCGCGAGCGACGTTGGTTGGCCAGCGTCTTTTCGCAGAACTAATCGGGTGCTCGGTGTGAACGTTTCGGACCGAGCGACGTTGCGTTTACCTAACCTGAGATTGAAAGCGTTTATTGCATTAGCACTGTCAGCCTATAACGGAGGCACCGCTAATCCGTGAGAACCTGTCGAGATTTTGATGAAAGGGTGGCCCAAACGCACGCTGGAAGGCGGCGCCGAATCCGCGTGTACGAGTTTAATTTTCTTGTTTGCGATGAACACTGATGACGTTAATGAAACCGCCGGCATCACCGAGGGAAGACTGCGACTTTGCCTTTTGTGCCAACTGAGTCCAAGGAGCCATTTGCTAATCAAGAGGGAACACGGGGCAAGTGCATGAGCGGATTTCGCTGCCCCTAAGTCCGCCGGGCTGTAATGGGGACACAGATTAACCCGATCTCGCACTGTCGAGTGTCGCCAGCTTTTGAGACGACGGTGGGTAACAGGGGCTGCCCCCCCCCGAGTTGTGCAATCTCCGTGTATGCGTGCACCGTCCTGTGCCAGGGGTTTGCCACCTGCGGCTCCGGAGCCGCAGAATTGGCAGAGGTCAAGGGAACCTTTTTGTCTTTACCGAGGGCCAGCTTGGGGACTATCAAACACCTTTTCGTGGTGGGCCACGCATAAACACGGACCTTCATAATTTCCGGTGGAAGTGACAGTGTGACACGACACGTTACAAACACCAAAGCTGCCAGGTCCAAAAACGTTGCCCTCTGCTACCCGATTTTAGTATGGCTTGGATGTTCGCAGCGATGGATAAATATTGTTTTGCGGGCTTTTATTGTCAAAAGTCTTAGGCCTAGGTGTGGTCACGGGCCAGACTGTGAATGGAGTCACGGGCCTTGTCTGGCCCGCCATGTACCATAGGAGGTTCCTCACCCCCTACCCTACAGTGGGATTCGGACTGGGGTTGGAATACGTTGATCCACCAACCCTTGCCTCCTCCACTGCGCTATGGTGTCAGAGGAAAGTGCCACCAGTTGGCTGCTTTAATTCCGACGATTTTCGTCATTTCCCATACTTGGAGCTCTTTAAGTTCCCGGTAATGACATTGACGTGTTCCATTGATTTTTTTTCCCGAACGTTATGATATCATTTTCCCCTCCCCGGCGCTCTCTCCACTGGCAACCAACGCTGTCTACCGAAGCTCCCCTCCCCCCCCCCCCCCCCGTTAACCCATGCTTCTTCAGCTGGAGCTCGCATTGCCTAGACGACCTCTTCCACCAGCTAGCTGTGCTGTCGACTCCCTTCCCCCAGGCTCCAGGCTCAAGACCTTGGCATTGTTTTTCTATGCCCATGACTGGACCACCTCTTTCTCTAACATAACAATGAAAACAAAGATTCTCCACCATAGCATGAACAGACTGTTTGGGAAAGTGCTGTTTGGGAGTACCTATGAAGGCCATCTCCCGAGTGGCGATGTTTTTACGCACCGCACCAGGTACTCATTTGATGCGGAGTCGACCTAGGGGATGCCCAAGATCGGTTCAGATAATCGTCACTGATGTTGGCCGTGAGCAGGAATCGAACTCTGGTCGCCAGGTTCGTTTCTCCAGCATCTTGATGTGGTTGCATTCCTCCATGCTATATTATTCCACGTTGCATTGTATTATATTATGGTCGTATACCGTCAACTCCCACTGATTTCATGACCAGGTTGACACTCTACTTAAATGAAGACGCAGCCCAAAAAAGCAAATTGTTCTTTGAAGATCTTGTAAACTCCTAAGCCTCGTGTCCCGGACAGCCCGACGGTCCTATTAATGAGAAAAAATACTTGAAAGTTTGGGTCGCGTGCTGCATCATTCACACTTTAGTGATGTAATTGCATTGACGTGCTATAGCGTATGGGAGTGATGTCACTAGAGTACATTTTAAACGGTGTCCGTTGCTTTAATACAAATTTTCACCTAGTTTACCAGATTTTTGTGCTGACAGCATCCATGGCATGAGACGCAATCCATTCGGATCCCTTGTACAGCAATGCAACTCTCCAAAAAAAACCCTTTTACGATGGATAAAATTGATCGTGAAAGCCTACACGTTTAAACCCAACTCTTCCTGTCATAGAACGGCCCATGGAAGAGGTTATCACAGAGCCACTTCTGAAAATCCTTTGGGTGACCTCTGGTGCACGCATCACTCTACTGTCTGCTCTACCGTGGAAAATTAAAAAGTTCGCACGTCAGACAAATTAAGTGCCGATCCAAATTTAATGCAATGGGTTTTTTTTGTGTGCGTGTAGTCATTGGTGACCGGGCTGAGACCGTCAACTCGCTACGCTCGACACTGCTTTAATTGCAGGCGGCTGTCTGTTTGACGTGAGCCCAGGGATCTGGCGGTGCCAGCCCAGCGCTCCGACCTCCTGAGCCACCAGGGCCACCTCGATTTTGAAAGTGCTCATAGAGTTGCGGTCACGCACTCCGTCGTTCCCACCTTTTGATTGCCGTGTTTGCGACGTACCGGAGCGACACGGCTTGCGGATTTTTCCATCGAGCGGCGTACCGTCACCTTGAAAAGTAGCCGGCGATCAAATTGGGGCAATCTCTCTGCAGGATTTCAATTGGGGTGTGCGAGTAAATTTAGTGGCATGGCCCGCGAGCAGCTGGGTGGCACAATGTGGAACACGAAGGCGGTGAATGGCGTGAACCGGTCTTGCCGTGGACGCGCCCCGGGTAAGGTTACCCGCCCCGGCTGAAAGCGATCCCGCGGTGGTGACGACACGCTGGTCCCTCGGTGGTTACTGTACGACGCTGTGCGAGCGGTAGGCGCCCACCCACCTTCCCCCCCACGCCTCCGATTAGCACGGTTGGCGATGTACGGTGCGATTTTAGAAGTTCTCCGTACGTACAGACAACACCCGTGCCATTGAGGAGTGCGAAGGCGGAGAGAATGCGTCGACCCTTTAGAACCTTGCTTGAAAATAATTGAAATGTGGGTTGGTGCTTTTCATTCAAGGGATATGTGCAGTGGACTGAATTCCTGTTGCATAAACTTGCCCCTTTTTAAAGGGGCAAGTTTATGCAGAGTTGACGATTGTTGTGCAGAGTTGACGATTTAACATCTGCTTTGCCGTCCTTGATATCATCGTGAGCCATGATGAATCCACTGCTGGATGAATGCCTCTCCAAGCCTTGCCCATCTCTCACGGTCCCGAAATTCAACAACTTCTCGAGCAGCTGCACACGCGCTAGTTTAATCGCTCCATCTCCTCGTCGCTAGTTATGACGATCCGTGCAATTCTCTCATTCTGGATTGCGAGGAATTGAGACTGGGGAGGCCTTTTTGCAACGTTGCCTAGACTGAGTTGCGTCTCGCCAACTCAATCTCGCTGAGCTGCTCAAGGCCGAGTTGCTCGCAAACAGAATAGAGGTAAAGGTGCAGCCCTGTAATTACCGCACTGCACAAGACACGCGAGACACTCGGCGTGGCAATAACTTGTTCGGTCGTTTCTCAATCCGCTTGTCCTGGTGAGGGTTGCGGTGGGAACATGTTGAGTAGGGCGGTCCAGACGTCCCTTTCCCTGGCTACAGACTGCAGCACTAATACACTACTATACACTACACTAGTATACACTACACTGCTATACACAGACTCTAGCTCTTCCTGGGGAACTCCCAGGCGTTCCCAGGCCAGCTGAGCGAGATAGTCCCGCCAGCGTGTCCTGGGCCGGCCCCGGGGGTTTTCGTGAGAAAGAAAAAAAACTGAGAAACGGCAAAACATTAACTTAAATGCTAAAAGCCATTGGCTGAATTAACAAAAATTTTAACAAGCAGAAGTGTGTAGATACCTTTTCGAGTCGAGTTTTGAAAGCTTCCACTGACTCCGAGATCCTGATCTCGTGGAAGAGGGTTCCAGAGTCTGGGAGCCGCTTCGTGGGGAAACGGCTCAGTCGCCCGTAGGCCCAAAGCCTCTACGACCTGGGAACCGGGAGAAGATCTTCATAACCAGATCAACGAGGCCTTGAGGGGGGACCTATGGGGGCAACACTGCCTCTGACGTAGGCTGGGGCAAGGTAATGTACGTGATGGTGGGGGCACGTGCGTGCATCCTGTTGCTTCCCGTGCAGACAAGCGTGTGGCAGACTGGCCGCTCATGCAATCGCCGCTGCCCACGCTGGCCATCTCGTCGCTCTACCTGCTCTTCGTGTGGCTCGGCCCCAAATGGATGCAGAACCGCGAAGCGTACCAGCTCCGTGTGCCACTCATCATCTACAACTTCGCCATGGTCCTCCTCAACCTCTACATCTTCCTCGAGGTGGGACGCCGCACGCCCCCCGGTTACCCGTGCGGAGGGTCGCTCCTCCACCTCCTCTTCCGCCCCCCCCACCACCCACTGCTTGCCGCTCGCATCCCCCACCTCTGTCGAGCGATGGTTCCGCAGCCTGGGTTAAAACGCAGGCCTTGGATAATAATCGGCGGTGAGCGGTGTCTGAACCGATCCTCGGCCTCCCCTCGGCTGACTAAACCTTAGAACCTTACCTGGTGCGGTGCGTGAACATCAGCACGAGCGAGACAAAAGGTGTCTGGCCGTGTTACTGTCCACACTACCTCGTCATGCTGTCCTGCATGGGGTTTCCTATGTGTGCTTTGGCTGAGTCGCATAGCTACAAAACGCACACACAATGGAAGTGGCCAAAACATCCCAATGATTAATTACCGTCAAATAACTCAAATTGGGGTCACACACAGCGACAGCATCGCCTCCTACTGCAAAAAAACTTGGCAAAACCCTCCTGAAAGCCGTGAATTCTAAGATATATATAGGTCATGAGCGCAAGGGAATAATGTATAAAATAAATGGCAGGCACTCGTGAGCAGCACTTGCGCCAATAGTTGATGCTCAGCCTATGTGGGGGATATCCGTCATACGTGTGCGCATACTGTGCCGCCCATTTCCCTCCACCCCCTCCGTGTTCCGCGTTATCTTCAGCTCTTCCTGGGAGCGCGTGCTGCCGTGTACAGCTACATCTGCCAGCCCGTCAACTACACGGACGACGTTAACGAGATGAGGGTAAGCGTTTTAGCGCGCGCTCTCCACGCGGCCAAAATAGCCGCACCCGTACATTGCTCGCCATCTCGGGTTAAGGTGCCCAACTGAATTGTTGGACATTCCCACATCAGTGCTGTGCAGCAAACGCACAAGGGGGAGGAGGAGGGTCAAGCAATTCCCAGACTTTTGGCACTTCTCTCAGCCACTGCACTCTAAAAAATTGCAATAAACTGTTTTATTTTACCAGGTAAAGCTCACTGAGCTATATAGCTCTTATACCAAAGCAACCTGGCCGCAATTGTGATGGCTCGGTAAAGTGGTTTATCATGTGGACATTTACAGCAGCCAAATACTCTAAACGCGTGATGTTGACTTCTAAATGTGGAGGGGAAAACCCAGAGCGACCCGGAGAAAAATCCACATGACCACGGGGAGAGAAAACACGCCAACTCCCAATACACAGATGTCATGGTCATGATCGAACCCACAACCTCCTGCCTACCCGGCGAGGGAGATGACATCTCACCACCGCGGTACCTCCCTTGCAACCACAGCCACCACACTCACAACCACAGCCACCACACTCTCAACCACAGCCACCACACTCTCAATCACAGCCACTGTACTCTCAACCACAGCCACCACACTCACAACCACAGCCACGATGCCCACGGACACGACTACCGCGCCAACCAACACGGCCCTTCTCCCACTCGAGCTCGAGTCTTCGAACTCCCCAGTGCAGCACAGGCGGACGTGCGTCTCTCCTTGAACCATTTGTGGACGCGCGTCTTCACTTCGTCGTCGTCCGTTTTCAGAATCGTCGCCCACCCAAAGTGCCGCCGCTCCTCCGTGAGGAGGGCCGCCGCCAACGGATGGTCCGCTCGCGTCTCATGTCGCCCTCGCGTCTCATGTCGCCCTCTCGTCCGTCTCCCCCCCCCCACTCCCTCGCATCCGCAGATCGCGTCTGCCCTCTGGTGGTACTACGTGTCGAAGGGCATCGAGTACCTTGACACGGTCCTCTTCATTTTGCGTAAAAAGTTCAACCAGGTGACCTTCCTGCACGTGTACCACCACGCCACCATGTTCACCCTGTGGTGGATTGGCATCAAGTGGGTCGCCGGAGGCCAGTGTGAGTAGCTCCTCTTGACCTCTTTCGCCCCCCCCCCCCATCGTTCCCGTGCCGTCAATATTTTAGCACTCGTCGTTTTTTTACGTTCATCTTTCTCGTTGTCCCCTTTCACGCGCGAGTTTTGTGTGCGGCAAAAAGCCGGGGATGTTGATGGGCCGGAAGTGTTTTCCGGTTGTGGGGGAGAGCGGTGTACAGCCGCGGTGAGACATTTCGCCAGTCTTTGTCGGGTTCGGAGGGCACGCGCCAATCGCTGCGCTCACTCTTGAAGAGCGAGAACTCGGAGGTGCGAGGAACCATAGATAACTTGGATAACCACAGATAACAAGCCTACGTGTTGGACTAATTATAATTCCTAATTGTCATGATCTACTGTGCCCCCCTCTGCCCACCACTCCTCCGCAGCATTCTTCGGCGCACACATCAACTCCATGGTGCACGTGGTGATGTACACCTACTACGCCCTCTCCGCCTTCGGGCCAAAGATGCAGCCCTACCTGTGGTGGAAGCGCTACCTCACCATCATTCAAATGGTGAGCACCGCCCCTCCCACGCAGCTCCTCCGTGTTTTCCAGCCAGCCAACTCTGCCTCCCCCCCCCTCGCCTCTAAGGCAGGGGCGGGGGAGATTCAGGGCTGCCTGGTTGCAGTCGGCACCCTGCAACCAATATAAGCTCAACAAAGCGGCTAATCCTCCTACGGAAATATATAGCAGTAGCTAAAGACTCCGAACGCACGGTGATGTTGATTCTAAATGTGGAGGGAAAAACCGGATGTCCCAGAGAAGAATCCACGTGACCACGGGGAGAACGTGCAAACTCCCAACATGCAGGTGTCAGGGTAGGGATCAAGCCCACTACCCCCTGCTTACCAGGCGAGGGAGATGGCATCACGCCAACCACAGCCACCGCACTCGCCAACCACAGCCCACCGCACTCGCCAACCACAGCCCACCGCACTCGCCAACCACAGCCCACCGCACTCGCCAACCACAGCCACCGCACTCGCCAACCACAGCCACCGCACTCGCCAACCACAGCCACCGCACTCGCCAACCACAGCCACCGCACTCGCCAACCACAGCCACCGCACTCGCCAACCACAGCCACCGCACTCGCCAACCACAGCCACCGCACTCGCCAACCACAGCCACCGCACTCGCCAACCACAGCCACCGCACTCGCCAACCACAGCCACCGCACTCGCCAACCACAGCCACCGCACTCGCCAACCACAGCCACCGCACTCGCCAACCACAGCCACCGCACTCGCCAACCACAGCCACCGCACTCGCCAACCACAGCCACCGCACTCGCCAACCACAGCCACCGCACTCGCCAACCACAGCCACCGCACTCGCCAACCACAGCCACCGCACTCGCCAACCACAGCCACCGCACTCGCCAACCACAGCCACCGCACTCGCCAACCACAGCCACCGCACTCGCCAACCACAGCCACCGCACTCGCCAACCACAGCCACCGCACTCGCCAACCACAGCCACCGCACTCGCCAACCACAGCCACCGCACTCGCCAACCACAGCCACCGCACTCGCCAACCACAGCCACCGCACTCGCCAACCACAGCCACCGCACTCGCCAACCACAGCCACCGCACTCGCCAACCACAGCCACCGCACTCGCCAACCACAGCCACCGCACTCGCCAACCACAAGCAGGCGTCAGAGTCGGGTCCTGTGAAGTCGGCTCTCTGACCTGTGAGCCACCCAATCGCCAACCCACGTGTTCCCTCTTTCGTCGCCACGCAGGTGCAGTTCCACCTGTCGACCTTCCATACGGGCTACTCGCTCTACGTCGACTGCCCCTTCCCCAAGTGGATGCACTGGTCGCTCATCGCGTACTCCGTCTCCTTCATCCTGCTCTTCGCCGACTTCTACTACCGCACGTACATGAAGGCGCGCAGGGAGGCCGGCGCCATTGGGGCGGCGGGCAAGCGGTCCAGGGGCGACAGAACCTTGGCTCGCGACGCCGCCGCCGCCGCCGCCAAAAACGGCGCCCTCGCCGACGACCTCTCCTCTGGCGCCGACGGGCCCAGGCGGGGGGGCGTGAGGGCCAACGGCGGGCGCCCCGCCGCGCCCGACGGCAAGGCCCACGCAGACAGGGCCGCTGCGAACGGCCGGCCGTCGCAGCAGCCCTCGGCCTCGAGCGGTGGCAAGAAGCAGAAAGCCAAGGCCAAGAAGGAGTAGATTAAACCTCTTGTTTTTCCACTGTACAACCGAGCCGAGCCGGGGGCCGTGCCGAGCTTAGCCCCGTGCGCAGCTCGAGACGCACCACCAGATTTTTTCTTTTTTTTTTTTTACACTGCGGGAGTCGAGCCCGTGCCATGCCTCCGACGCCGCACATCGAACGAGTCCGAGACGTGCGTCGGTGACGCGGCGACGCAGAGTCCGAGTCGTCGACTGGCCGACTGTCGCGCGCAAAGAACCCGTCGTTAAGCCCCGTCCCTGGCCCTGCTTGGCCCCCGTCCCCCCCCCTTCCTCAAGTACCCCGCCGAGCCAGATTCGGACGTCCCTAGTTAGGCCGGCGTAGCACGGTTTGGTTCTGGCTCGGCACGGCAAATAGCCGGTGTAAAAAGAGGGCCTCGCACCGGCTTGGCTTTGGATGTGCCAGTGGAAAAAGGGGGGGGGGGGTTGCGGCGATGGTTAGGGATGGTTTGGTTTTCGTTTCGGCTGTGCAGGATTATCATTGAGTTGTCGTGGCTGCTTTAGTTACTGCGGTGGGGGGGACGGGGGGGGGGTCCCATTTGCGAGCCGCCGATCCAGGTTGCCACTCTGGTGGGTTTGTTGTGGCAGGCAGGGCTCGCTGGAGCGCGCACCGCATTCATTCCTTGACCAAATTCAAAAACCCGTCTGGAAGCCACCGCACTCATTGTGGGAGCGAGGGGACGGTCCTGGAGTCCTCGCAAGCGGAGAGAGGGCGGCTGCGGCAGCAGCACATCACAATCAGTTCACCGATTAGCGAATACATCATTGCCCAAGTTTAATTACATACACGCATTATTGCAGCGGGCAGCCATGCAGCTTAACAGATTTACGATCGCAGCCTTTAAAAATGTTATTACTTTTTTTTTAATATTTCGGCAGCTGTTCCGGTTTGCTTCGTTTTCCGGGGATTACCCCAAGGTATGGCTTCACGGGATTTATGTTTTGCTTGCATGCGATTGAATTGACATTTACAACGTGAATCGTGGGCAATCATCGTCACGTCGATTCGTCAGTTCTCGACGCTCGCAGTGCACGCAAGCATCGAGACGTGCGTTTTAAAAAAAAAACTGCTGCGGAATATGTTACACAATTTTACGTACAAATATTTCCCTTTTTTAGAATCGTGGTCCAAACGAAGCACCAACACTTGGTGAACAGTACAAATGAGATCGGTGGGGGGGGGGGGGGGACATACATTATTGGATTGTAATCATGGCCTCTGATAGTGGTTACAGCTCCACGACAGACCAATGGGAGAGCTTTCGTGGTCGTTGTTCACTGCCGAGTTTTCCCATCGCCCATTCCATTCCGCTCGGTAGCGCATGTCCAGTCTGCTCTACGGTGGACGCACGCGCGCGAGATGCCGTCGCATCACGCGGGTTGACGAGGATTTGCGTGGATTTTCCGCTCGAGTGTCTGCGGCGGCGTTTCATTTCATTCGCAAGGGTTGGCCACTAGTGAAGCGACGTAAAAAAAAACACTAAACGGGGATTTAGAAAAAAAATATATATTATTATATACAACTGAACTTTGAAGCGAAATTTGGGAGCAAGTGTTTTTAACGCCCTCGCTGTAATTACACCGAGGTAGCGCTCTTTCACTCCCCCCTCCCCCCCGGTACGACAAACGGCGAGAGGTTTTAAAGTGGGGGCTGGCGAACGTCAAGCGCGTGACCGCTCGTCCACACGCACCCTGCTGTCGCTGTCGCGGGAGTGGCCGCGATCCAATTAGAAATGCGCTGCCGCATGCTGATGTGTCGGATGCGTTTCCCCTCGCTCTCGTAACCAACTCGTGCAGCTCGGATGCTTGCGGGCGACGGATGAACGTCGTCTTGCGGACATGTCGGCGTCTTGTGGCCCTGGGCCCTGGTCTGGTTTGGCCCCCATGGGCCGTGTCGGTTCCCCGCTCCATGATGTAAGCGTGACTTGTGATGGCCGTATGTACGCATGTTTGTTGAACGTCTTTCGCACGGTGCGTAACCAACCGTGCTAATCGGAGGTGCGGGGGAAGGACGACAAACTTAAACGCTTAAAGCAAGTTCTAAAGGAATGAGTTTTTGATTCGGAATCTAGATTGGAAACTCATTTTTTTTTTTACTTCTGGACTGATTTTAAAGGTGCATAGCTGCTCCAGTGGCTTCCTCGTGATGGGAGTGGCACGCGTGCGGCTGTAGTCCGGTGCTTCTCAACCTCCCTTCACCCCACGGCGCTCACTTCTGAGCTTCTTCGACCTTCACGGAACACCGAGCTCAACCCCCGTGCGTGCCCATGCGCGGCCCTCAATTCCCAGCGGGGATGGGGCCTGCGGTGGGGCCCGTCTGCCGTGACGCGCACCAGCAGAGGGGTGGTGGGTGGGTGCTGGTTTGGCCACTGGAGGACACTGAGAAGGAGGAGAGTTCGCCAGTCCTCGCCTGGAAGGGGGGTGAGGTTAATTCCTAGGATTCTGAAAATACCGTGGAGCGCCGATTTGCGAAGCGCTGCTGTAGTCTTAAGGTCCTCGGAGCAGATGTGCGTCCTGCGTGTGACGCTGGCGATGACGGCCTGTGGTGATGTTTTATGCTGGAGCACCAAGGGCTCTTGCTCGATGTTTGTGTCGTAGGATTTGTATTTTGTGATATCGGGTGCGAGTGTAAAAGTCACGCATGATGGGGGGGGGGGGAAAATAATTGTTTTATATTCTCAACTTTGAAGCGCACATGCTTACCAGATGTAGCTTTTTAACTGTTATTATGACTGGTTTTGTTTTCACATTGTTGTGTTCTATCTCCAAATTACAATATTCACATGTCTCTGAACGCAACCAGACCTGATAATAATAATAAAATCTGTGCTTTTTAACCGAAACTCGCGTGCACGCACGACAACTCAGTGGTGGTGACGACACTACGGCGCTTGCACCAGGCGAGGTGCACTTTGAGGCCACATCAAGTGTCAAAGGCTCGCTGAAAAGAGGTCACGGGACAGACCCAGGTGTTGTTATAGGTTGACGGACTGGGAAGACTTTAAGATGCATCACTTTTATTCCCCAGTGCCAACTTGCAGCGTTTTAGCCGCCCGGCACCCCGCTTATATTGGTTGTAGGGCGACTGTCTCGGTAGCGTCCTTTACGAGCCTCTTCCAGAGGCCGAGCTTGACACTGCTGGTACCAGTCAATCTGCAAGTCCAATCAACTCCATCTTTTCTGTACCGCATCAGCCCATCTCTTCTCCAGCCTATGCCGTGCCCATTTAGCGCCCTCTATCTGGCCAAACAGAAGCTGCCTGGGCATGTGATGGCTGGGAAAGTGGGCTTACATGACCCAACCAACACAGCCTCGCTAGCCAGAGGAGTTCACTGATGGGACTGTGTCCAGGTCTTGCATGGATCTGTGAACTCGTCACAATCCAGTCGGCTAAACACACATGCGCGCCACATTTCTTGATATTTGTAGAGATTCCTATCTTAGGCAGTGACACAAGTAGGTTGCTAAGTTGTATATTTAGAGCTTGAGAGTAGAGCAAGGCTGATTGAGTCGCTTAATTGACTAAATTATAATTGATTTTCTGTTGTCAGTTTGGTTACTCAGACCTTAAAAATGTCGGCCACCCAAACATCCTGCTTTCTGAAGGCATGAAACCCCCCCCCAGGAGCTGTTGTCTGCGCAAGCCGGTTGATGATTACCAAATTCCACCCATCACCTCCCATCCAGAGACACACGTGGGAACGGATGTGACGTTTTTTTCAAGCGATTTTCGTGTCCATAGGAGTTTTTTTGGGTTAGATTGCATAAATCTAAATGTGTCCGTTAAACCCACCACCACCCGGCACAGCCAATTAGTGAAGTTGGTCACGTGAATAAAGCGTGCCAATTCTGTCGGAGAGGAAACGCACATTTACAATTCGACTACCGTAACATTTCGCCAGTAATTACAACCAGCATCATCAGGCGACAGCCAGAGTTGGGGAGGATTCCTCCTGTTTCAGTATTAAATAGTGTTTTAAATGTGTCGTCACTGACGCGATCTCACCCAAAAAAAACCTCGATGATATTGGTCGCGAAAGCATACGTATTTTCGTGTCCGATTTAGTTTTAGTCGTGTAACTGAAACGAATACTCTCTAAGAGATTCCTGAAATAATCAGATAGCCCAGCCCTGCCTTGAGTTCTCCCCCGAGTATGCATCGGGTTTTTTTCCCCCCCAGGCACTGCCGTATCTTCCATCCCAAGCGAAATCAGGAATGCGAAATGAGTCCCAAAGCAGGACTCCCTTGATTAAAAAAAAGAGTTGAGATTCGGTGAAGCTTCAGAGGGCAGCGTTCCCCCCTCCCTCCCCCCATCGTTGGTGCCCTCCACCACAGTTCCACCAAACGCCCACTTGAGGTGCCAGGCCCGTTGCGCACCCCACATGCCGGATGATTAGCATAGTGAGCATTGCGAAGGCGTGGGTTGTGGTCGAGTTGGAACGTTTCGCTCGAAGCTCGCAGCAGCCAGCTTTTGTCCCATGAATACAAAGTGCGTCTGGTTGTAAGCCGCTGTAAATATTAAGCCCTTGTAGAGTCCAAGCATATATACTGTGACTGCTTTAAATTACCGTGATTAAACTATATTAATGTTTTTATTGAACGTTAATTTATGAAGTTGTGGTTGTAGTACAGTGCTTGATAAATGCAATGGCTTTCCTGTGTCGGTGCATACATCAGTTAAGTTTTTCTTTATTTGAAGTTTTTTTTGTAAGTTAACTTTTTTCTTTTAATCATACCCCCCCCCCCATGAGCAATTGTGGGATGAATGAATTGGAACCGGGAGGCGGAGCCGTCCTTAGGCCACAGCACAGCAGCCGCCCGCTCTGCCACTGGGAGTATATTGTTCTTTACGTGATGGTCAAAGCCGATTATATTGAGATGCAAGAAAAAACTGAATTTAATTTTCGGTGATTATTAATTGGTTTATTTTGGCGGTTATATCGTAGTGTAGGAATAATGTAAAAAATAAACAATCAACCACTCGATTAGAGCCAATAAAACCACTTTGCCACATGGGCAAATGTGTGCCTGTTGATTTGGTTTTTCACCAAACCGGCTACGTTAAAGCAATCAAGATTCCTTGTTAACTTTATACCTACGCGATTTGTCCCAAAATAAACCAATTATGAAACATAGTATAGGTCGTGAGAGCCTCCGTGTAAAACTTTATTTGCAATGTTTAAATGGTTTCTTTAAGGTCGAGCCCTCTGTGAATCGGTACCTATCCTCCGTCCGCGAGCCTCCTTACGAATTGTTTGCAATTATAATCGAACCGTGACCTGGGGTTGTGGAACGCACGTCACGGGTTTTGTTGTTTTCCGAAATGGATTGCTACGATTATGACTGCGCACCATTATTCTTTGCGTTAACTTTGCATCAGTTTGTTACTGCTTTATAATACAATTTGGGAACAACATCCTACAAGGGGGGGGGGGGGGGGGCAAAGAGATGCAGGTTATTTTAACGGACGATGTACAGAGGCTTGTTTGGCGAATGAATCCACTGCTGGATGAAGTTCCTCTTTCCTCTCACCGTGCATGGCCTGGACAGAAATGGCCGTGTGGCTCTGGTGTGTGTGCGCGTTCATGTTTGAACTTATTTTGCACCGTACGTGGCCATCCGTGCTGATCAGTTTCTAATTCGCAGTGCTCATCGGTGAGCCACAGACAAAATCGGCAACGCCACATTTTAAATGCCTTGGGTTTCCCTTATAACACAGTAAATTAACATTACAGGGACGCTTCTACTTAGGCACATTTGACGTACGAACTTTCAGAGATACGAACAAACCTGTCCGTATGTCCAGTTGCCGTTTCGGACCGAGACACAAGTTCAACTGCCGCGCAATAAACGGTGGGGGTGGCATCTACAGCTACAGAGCGTGAAGAACCAGTGGCATTCTCCATCTACAGGAGATTATACAACTTTTAAAGCCATTCTCCGTGTTTAGTGTGCATGCCGTACAACATGTTTGGAGTTTACAGAAGTCAAGTTGGACTTACGAACAAATCGACTTGCGAACAGACCTCTGGAACCTAACTCGTTAGTAAATAGAGGAGTCCTTGGAGTACAAACTGATGTACCAATCCATTCGGGTGCAAAGCATAAACACCGTGACCCATTGTTATTTCCTTAGCAATCGTTCAACCGCTGCATTGTACAGATTCGATTTTTTTTTCAATCAACAAATCTGCAAATGTGGCGGACCACAATTCGGAGGAGTTTAATGTTGATTAGTAACTCTCCCAACTCCTTCCGAGTCGGGGGTTGAGCGCCAAGGCGGCGTGGGTGATACGGCGTGGTTACTGTCCGGTGACACGCAAGGCATCGGCGGGACGATCGATCGAACCGGTGACCATCGGTTCGCACCGTCCGCCGCCCAGGAAACCCACCCGGCGCGTCACTACCACCAGGGCACTCTTTTCTGGCTCTCCCTGCAGCCCCTCCGCTCACTTCTGTTCGAGTCCCCCCCCCCCCACCACCATTTAAAAAGGAAGGGTGGTTTAATTAAACTGTGCCGTGTACATATATACTTAACATCGCCGCCGTGGTTTGGCTATAACGAGTTGCGCGTGGGATTGCACAAACTCGAAATGTCGGGTTGGTCGCCGAAATGCGCGCTTAAAAGAACAATCGTGGACGTGGCTGACGGGTTCTCGTCGTCTTCGTCGTGTTACGTCGGGATCGGTGGCAAGGAGTCGCCTGTAGCTCGTCTCAACTGTTGACGATTCAATATCAATATAAACATCAAAGGGGACACCCCTACATTATTCATAATCAACCTACGTGGACCCCCCCCAATGATCCCACCATACATTAACCATGCTCTGTGACCGAGGCATTGAGACTGTGAAAGAGGGGGATGGTGTGGTATGACCATCAGAGTAAACCACTGTCATCTGCGCTCCATCAATGGAGAAGCAGAAACCCCGAAAATGACTCTCAGCCGAATGTCCTCCACCTGGCTGGCGGACCTCGACTTTGTGCATTTGGCTTCCTGAATACAGGCAAGGGGGCCCGAGTCGGGGCACGGGGCTATTTTATTTATTTTTAACACTGGCATTGAAGCATTTTCGTTGTTTCTTCTGTAAATTAATATTCTATCTCTTATTATTTATCATTGATCTCTTATTTGTCGTCTTCCTGTGAGGTCACATCAAATCCGTCCCTTTGCCAAGCTCGACCAAGGAAGCCCGAATGAATTTGAGACGAACAAACTAAATTGATGTAATGTTCAAAGATCTGTGGTCTTTAAGTAAATAAAGAAAGTTCTCAATCCGTTTCGAAAGATAACATATGCGTGCATTAATATGAATGGAAGTCAGTTTGAACAAATGTTACATTAAATTAAATAACCCTACGTGATTTTGTTAAAATAACCACGTGTGCTGTGACTTTTGGGCCACCCTGTCTGTATAATGCACAAGAATAGACGTGGGGGAGATCCAGACTCGGAATGTGATGTGTGTGTGTACGCTTAACTTCTTACGCACCGTACGTAGCCATCCGTGCCAGTTGTTAGGTGACTGGAAGCCACTCTAGGCTCGTTTTGCGGTTGTGCTGGAGAGCTCTCCCATGCGTTTCCGTTTGTGATCGTACCGGCAAATTCGGGACCTAAAGAAGCTCCCGGCACCTGCGGCAAAACGTCGGAACATCGCCTCGGGTCCTGCGCACGGCACAAGCCTGAAAGCACCTCGGGGGGACTTGAAGTCTTTTTAGAGTATTGCTGAATGCACACGCGTCATTTTACTCGTGGCAATGTCTGGGGAAATAAAACTTGTGGTGTGGTTTTTAATGTGTGTGTGTAATGCTGTTGCTGCGACATGCATTATTCCTGACGCTTAGCAGTGTATCGCGATGCTTATTAAAGCAGACTGCCCATTGAGTCGGGAGTTTTTCGAAATTTTCCGTGTGCCCACCCTGACCCACAGGGACGCCAGTCCTTGCCGCGAAACTTAATGTTTGTATCGGCGTCATTATTAAGTCGGTACAGGGCGATCGATTTTCCATACATTTGCATAAGAATCAAATGTATTTATGCTGGAGGAATCCAATGAGGTGTAAAGCTCTTTGTTCACAGATGTCCAGTTGGGGCACAGGGTAAGAACGTTACAACAACAAATTACAAACACACGATAGTCGTGCAAAGTACGAGAAAGGTTCACAAATCTCCCAACACACAAACACAATACAACACTAAAACATCCCCATCCTACCAAGTAAAGCCCACCGAGGTATTAACTTTATTTTTCAGAAGCGACCTGGCTATCACAAATGACAGCTCAACAAAGTGGCGTATCATTGGGACATTTATAGCCGCAGAATAATCTAAACAATCCCAAACGCATGTTTCTAACTGTAGAGGGGAGGGACCCGGAGCAAACATCCAAGCGACCACGGGGAGAGAGAGAGACAGAGACGCAAACTCCAAGTAGAGAGAGCAGCAGGCGTCAGGGTCGGGACCGAACCCCCGTATCGGCTGCATACCAGGCGAGGTAGTTAACGTCACGTGATCTCCATCAACTTACATCGAGAACCATGGACTTAAATATAGACAAGGCCTCGCACTCCGGAGTAGCCCTGGGGAATATCTGAAATGTTTCCAAAGGGGGTTGGGGGGGGGGGCTTTGGCCTGCTTGTGTGCTCCGTTGAGACGTGAACTTGCATGCAGATTCGTAAACTTCTTGTGGACTCACAGACACTGACAAACTCACTGGTGACTGTAGTCGTTGTCGGCTCCACCCGAGGTGAAGTTTTGGTGTGGCCAAGAACAGTGAATTATGCGATAAGAATTTGAACTGAGTCGGTTATCAAATAATCTAGCTTATAAATCAAAATACATTAATGATACTAAAGTATTGCTACCTTAGGCGATTACCGATTTTTGTTCGGGCCCACGGACTAATTTGTGTAGGAGGTATCCATCCGCTGTTGACTTCCCAAAGTGGTAAATATTTTATCGACCCTGGAGTGCAGATGATGGACCGACTCGACCCCCTTCCCCTAGGTGGGATTCGAACTTGCAGAATTGCGGTGGAGTGCAACACAACAACAGCGCCAGCCAACCAGCGCGGTCGGGTCGCGGTTCGCGCGCTGCCCGAAGAACCGGCCCACCCGAGTTCGATTCCCGCTCACGGTCAACATCAGTGACGATGATGTGAACCAGTCCTGGGCCTCCCCTAGGTCGACTCGGCCTCACCCACTCAACAAAGCACACACTCGCCACACTGCAGGTCACAACAACACACTCACGACACTGTAGATCACAACAACACTCACCCACTCAGCACACTGCAGGTCACAACAACACTCACCACTCAGCACACTGCAGGTCACAACAACACACTCACCCACGCACTCACCACACTGTAGATCACAACACACTCACCCACTCACTACACTGCAGGTCACACCAACACACTCACCACACTGTAGATCACAACAACACACTCACCCACACACTCACCACACTGCAGGTCACAACACAACTCACTCACTCACCACACTGCAGGTCACAACAACACACTCACCCAGTCACGACACTGCAGGTCACAACACACTCACCCAGTCACGACACTGCAGATCACAACACAACACACCCACACACCAACCTGCAGGTCACAACAACTAACTCACCCACGCACGATCCTTGACGTTTATACCAATCAGGCGAGGCGGACGCTGGGTGTAAAGAGATAATAAATAGGTGGTGGTGGAGGCTCGTGAAGGACGCTGCTACTGGGTGGTTGGAGGCAGTCGCCCTCCAGCAACAGCGGAGGGCAGAGGAGCGACACTCACAACAACGAGCGGAGCGCCCAGCGGCTAAAACACAGCAAGTTGGGCACAGCTGGTGTGCATCTGCCAGTCATCTCAGTCCGTCAACCCATGGCACCTGGATCTGTCCCGTGACCTCCTGTCAGCAGTGGGCCTTCGACACTTCACGTGGCCTCAAAGTGCACCTAGCCTGGTGCAGGCGCCGTGGTGGCATTACCGCCACTTTGTGGCGAATGTCGTTGTTGGAATGGAGTGGGGAGCGGTGGCGTAGTGGTTAAGGGCACTGCGTTACAAATCTGGTGACCCGAGTTCGATTCCCGACCATGGCAAACGTCAGTGACGATTATCTAAACAGGTCCTGGGCCTCCCCTAGGTCGACTCAGACTCAAATGAGTACACAGTGCGGTGCGTAAAAACATCGCCACTGGGGAGACAAAGGCGGCTGGGCGTGGTGCTGGCCACCCACCCCCATGTGTGCCGTGCCGGCCTTCACAGGTGCTGCTCGCGAACAGCACTTGCCCCCAACAGTCTGCAAAGGCTACACGGGGGATCTTTGCCTTTGTTGGAATGGAGATCGGTAACCCGCAGACCATCCCGGGGCTCGAGGTGGGAATGCGCATTAATTCACGCCGTTGTGCAATGCTCACACGATGCCACCACCACCACCGTTACCATTCGTCATTCACCATCATCACCACCACCACCATCGCCGCCGCCGCTATTTTCAGCTGGATCCTTCTCACGATCTTGCGCAATGGACGTGAGCACGCGTTTACTCCGCACGGGTTCGGATGGCACTTGCGAAACGTCGTTGTCCCCGCTGCAGCAAGCAAACACGGCACCACGCCGGTTTAACACGCACCAGGCGGCTTTCGCGACCAACGGGAAAGACCGGGCAAATGGGCGCCTCAAATTAATGTTAACACTTACATAGGACTATCGTTTTTAATAGAGAAAGAACGGACAATAGACTGTAACACGATAACAAATGTACTCATAATAAAGGTGTTTGGGTTAGATCGCGTTATTTATGTGTCGTAACCCTCCACCACCCGACACGGCCAAACAGTAAAAAAAAGTGTCACGTTTACAAAGGACAATTAGTTCACTACTTTAGCCCACAGGTGTGTTGAAGAGTGAATCCACAACATTCACAGTTTGAGTACGACGTTTCGCTGGTAATTACATCCAGCATCATCGGGCAATTCGCCAGAATGGTAAAGCTCTTACTTGCTCCCGGTCTTAAATAGAGCAGCAGGGTGACGTCATCATTTAACTCATTTCAGGTGCAGCGATTTTAGGCGGAGGGGGGAGGGGGTATTGTAATTATATAATCGATTGGTAATCAGTCAATGCTTATGATTAGTAATGAGTTGTAGATTAGTAATCAGTTGTCATGTGTGTTATTGTGATTATATGAGGGCTTTACCATTCTGGCGAATTGCCCGATGAAGCTGGATGTAATTACCAGCGAAACGTCGTACTCAAACTGTAAATGATGTTGATTCACTCTTCAACACACCGGTGGGCTAAAGTAGTGAACTATTTGTCCTTTGTAAACGTGACATTTTTTACTGTTTGGCCGTGTCGGGTGGTGGAGGGTTACGACCCATTTACAAATAACGCGATCTAACCCAAAAACCTTTATTATGAATATTGGTCGCGAAAGCCTACGTGTTAAACTAACAAATGTAATGTTAGTAGCTTCAAAGAGTCTCCACTCGTTCGCCGTCGTTGTCAACGCGTGCCCGGAATCTTCTCCAGGTGGTCTTCAGAGCCTGGAGGCAGCACATTGATTGTGGTATGCAAATTCTCCGAAGTGCTAACATGTTTTTGAAGCACTAACCAGCCACCAAACAACGCAGCCCATGAGAAAGGTTTGCCACGTCAACAGAACGTGCCGATTTGTTACTAGTTCAGCACTACCCTGTTATGTGTTGGAGAGTAAAACCCACAACATTTACAATTCCCATACCGTGACGTCTCACCAGTAATTACGAGCAGCAACAGCAGCAGGCGACAGCACAGAGCTGTGGAGAGATGCTGCCCTTTCAGTCGATGGCAGCCTTCTTTTTGGCTATTACGGTACCAAGTTGGTGAAAAACAAAAAATTGATGTAACTGTCCGACCCGAGGTATGAACGCTGTGTGATGTTTGCATCGTCACCTTATGATGTTCGCCTTCTGGAGTTGCTCTCTGCTCTCTAACAAGGCCACACAGAGGGAGGCTGAGGCTCTGGTGTAGGCCAGTCAGTTCCAGGGACAAGGCGTCACAACTTGATCACCAGAGCGCGTGCGTGTATTTGTTTGCACGTTTAACCACAAGCGTGATGCGTGGTTCATGCGGACTTGGCGCCTCGTGATGCCAAGTGTCTACTTGGTGTTTGAACATCACCAAGAGGGCAAAGCGTTGTCAACTCGTAGCCAGAGACGCCTCTTACAAGCCGAGACGATGAAGAAGCAGCTGCTAGCAAAGCCGTCCCTTGGGAACGGCGATTCGGGGCGCGGCACTTCGCCGTCACGGAGTCAGATGGAACGGGTCCCACTGAGGAGTTCGAAGGCATTGGCCCTGGGCTAACGGGCCCACATTGTGGAGTTAGCCCAGGGCCCAGCAACTATTTGAAATGAAATGTTTACCATAAGATCCTGATTTGTTTTCAATCTGGAAAATAAATCTAACGTAAAGAACGCGAAAGAATGCGAGACAATCCAGACCATCTCAGTATCATCTTCGTCGAGAGGGAAGTGCAACCAATTGATGTTTGACCATTTTCTGTACAACACCATCATCACTTTCACACTAATAACTGTCACCATTATAACCATCAATGTACATTTAATTTTGGCGCCACAGTGG